GACCAGGTTCCAGGTTAGGAACATAAATAGGCTCTGGAGGGAGTACACATTCCACAAGGGCATGTCCCGAGGCCGGCAGGTGGCATGGTGGTTAAGAGTGCTGGACTCCCATAGGGCTGACAGTAGTTCGCGTCCTGAACCCAGAGGCTTGCTTTCTGACTTTCTCTCTCTCTCTCCCCTTCTCTTTTCTCACTCTGTCCTTCTCTGTTCAAATTAAAAAATAAATAAATGGATAAATAAAGTTAGATAAAATAAATCTTTTTTTTTTTTTTAGAGGTTTTTTCCCATATGCGCGTGGGCTCGCCCTCGCCAGACAGACAGAGAGAGACAGAGAGACAGAAAGCGAGAAATCACCCCCCAGGGGGGATGGCCACACTGCAATCCCTTCTCCTCCATTCTCCTCTCGGGATCTTGGGCACGCACGCACACGCACCCGGTGTGAGTTTTAAGCCACAGGGTCTGGGACTCGAACCATAGTCAACTACATGGGAGTCCAGCGACATAGTCATTACGCTAATTGCCGGTCCCTAAAATAAACCTTAAAAAAGCATAAAGAGCCTGCCCTCAGCAGTGCCGTTCACAGGACAAGCAGTGCGGCTCTGGCTACCGTGGTCCTGAGAGCATTTCCAACCTGGTGGGGGACACTGCAGGCTCACAAGTTACGGCGCACACGCCCACATTCACATGGGGCACACTCAGTGTGAGTGTCCCAGCCAAGCTCACACAAGGGCACACATGCCAGCACTCACACGGGGACACACATGATGTCAGTGTCCTGACAGCTCACACAAGGGCACACGCCCACACTCACATGGGGGGCGCACACGATGTGAGTGTCCCAGCTGAGCTCATACAAGGGCGTACACACCCGCACTCACACAGGGACACATACACCCACACTCTCTTGGGGGCACACCCAATGTGAGTGTCCCGGCTGAGCTCACACAAGGGTGTTGTAGGTGGAGTGGGAGCAAGGTGCTGCCAGTGAGCAGAGGGAAGCCTCCTGCAGGAGCCAGGGTCTAACCCCAGCACTGCAGGGCAGGGGAGTCTGTCCCGGTAGGGGTGCTGGAGGCATGCTGAATTTTAAGAGTGGGAGAAAAGATCAGGAAAGGAGGAGGAAGGACAAAGGGCACCATCAGGGGCGTCTGTCCCAGACACACACAGAAGGACCGACCCCTGGCAAGCCGTGACGGGGACTCGGCCTGCATCAGCGAGGGTGGGGAGACTCCGACTGTTGTGATGGCTCCTGTGGGCTCACTCTGAGCACCGTGAGGTTTCTGACAGACGGGGGGAGTCAGCGTGAGCACTAGACCTCTCTTCCAACATCAGCAGCAGGAGAGCTGCGCCTTCAGGCTGCGATGACCAGCTTACTGCCATATTCCAAAAGCTATGGTTTTAGCCACACACAGACTTTTTTTTGAGAGGTTTTTGCTACAGGGCACATGCGCTGACCAGAAAGACAGAAAGAAAGCAAGAAATCCCCCAGGGGGCATGGCCACGCCGTAATCCCTTCTCCATTCTTCTCTCAGAATCTTGGGCACGCACGCACACACACTCAGTGTTTTAAGCCACCGGGTCTGGGACTCAAACCGTGGTCGACTGCATGGAAGTCCAGCGACAGCCATTACGCCAACAGCCGATCCCATCCACACACAGACTTTAAAAATTGCCTTAAACCGAACATAACTTCCATGGTCAAACCGATCCAAAATAACAGGGCATTTTTTTACACAGGCCAGCCCTCTCCCAGACGCAAAGCCATTACCTTGTTCAGCACAGGCTTTGTCGACAGGACATCGTACAAGGTGGTAAAGGACAGCTTCTAAAACACAAGGAGAGTTCGCTCAGTGAGTTCAGTGCAGACAGCAGCTCGCCCCCTCCAGTGGCTCACTAGAAATCAAGTCCGGGCCGGCGGGTGATTCAGTGGTTAAGGCCTGGACTCCAACAAGGTCCACCACTGACTCCCAGATCTGGTGGCTTAAACTCATGCCAGGCACGTGTGCATGCGTGCCCAAAATCCCGAGAGGAAAATGGAAGAAAAAGGGTTGCAGCATGGCCATCCCCCTTGGGGGGTGATTTCTCACTTTCTATCTCTTATCTTTCCAGAAAGTGCACACTCTCTATAGCAAAAAATCTCTAAAAAAAAGCCAAGACTTCCTGCAATGAGTCTCCCCCCACCCCTCTTGACTTCTTCAAAGAATTTCCTGCAGGTTGCAGAGTCTGTCACCAGCTCTAATGTACTACTTTTTTCTTTTCTTGTCTCTTTCTCTCCCTTTTTCAATCTTATTGTTTTGCTATTTGGCTTCACAGAGTGGTAGCTAGCATTGGAATAACAAAGGGAAAGTAGGACAAAATACTGCTAAGTTTTTTTTTAAAAATACCAAAGCTCCGTGGGGATTGTCTTCATACTGAATACCCGGTTATCAAGCCGTTCAAGCCTGAGATCACCTTTTTCTTTTTTTTTGGAGAGATTTTTTGCTACAGGGGCGTGCGGTTGCAGGAGAGACAAGGAGACAGAAAGTGAGAAATCAGGGAACCAGCAGTTAGCCTAATGGCTATGTCGCTGGACTCCCACGTAGTCGACTGCAGTTCGCATCCTGGACTCGGTGGCTTAAAACTCACGCCAGGCGCGTGTGCGTGCGTGCCCAAGATCCCGAGAGGAGAATGGAGAAGAAGGGATTGCGGCGTGACCATCCCCCCTGGGGGGGTGATTTCTCGCTCTGTCTGTCTGGTGAGCGCACGCACCCTATAGCAAAAAAAAAAAAAAAAAAAAAACTCTCCAAAAAAAAAAAAAAAAAGGGGAAAACACGCCCCAGGGCCACACTGCAATCCTCCTCCATTCTCCTCTTGGGATACTGGGCATGCATGCACCCCCGCCTGGCGTGAGTTTCAACCTGCCAGGTCCAAACTCGAACCATGGCCGAGTACATGGGAGTCCAGCAACGTAACCATTTTGCCATCTGCTGGTCCCAGCCAAGATCACCTTTAACAGTGACACCCAGCCATACCTCCTGGGTGGTGCGGTTCAGGCACATCTTGGCGGGCGTTCTGCGGTCATCGAGGAAGAAGGGGTTCTTCCAGCGGTCGTAATTCGTTTGTACCACGTACCACCTACCCTGCTTGGGGTTGAGTCTGGAGACAAAAACAGAGATTCCCTCTCAGTCTTCATGTGCAGGCCTGGACGCACGTCAGTTTACACGTCAGCTTCTACTGCTCTTGCTGTAATGAACATACTTACTCATACACATCCAGAGATTCCTTTCGGCTGCGTGTGATCACACAGCCCTCCCCAGACTGGTTGCCTCCCAGGATGAAGTACGCTGGGGCCATGAGCTTGGTCTTGGTCAATATATTCCTGGCTTCTTCATAACTACAGGGAAACATTTTTATGAAGGAAATATTTTCAGTTGACAAGGAATGGGAATGTTTCAGTTCTGTGGAAGCTAAGAGAAAACACGTATTTGAAAAACATGCTTTTTATGGTTTTTGTTGTTGTTTCAGATTTGCTTCAGGGCACATGCATTTGCTGGAGAAAGAGAGCGAGAGGGGGGATGTGAGAAATCTTCCCCCAGGGAGGATGGCCACATCACAATCCCTCCTCCTCCATTTTTCTCTTGGGACTTTGGGCACACATGCACACAGGCCTGGCATGTTTTCAAGCCTCTAGGTCCAGGGCACAAACTATTCCATGTGGGATCCAGTCTCCTTAACCACTATGCCACAGTGCTGGCCCAGGAACATGTTCTTTTCTTAAATAATTATTTAATCGTATTTATTACTATTATTATTATTTAATTTGCGATAGGGTACAGGTGCTCACCAGAGAAGTTTGGGGAGTGAGAAAACAAGCCGAGAGGTCCAGGATTCAACCACAGTCGGCCATGTGGGAGGAGTCTAGCACCTTAACTACCATGCCACTTGCTGGCCCCTGGAGACATGTTTTATTTATTTATTTTTAAAACGGTGAGAAATGGTTTGGGGAGGAACATCCCAGCCTGTGTAGAGAATCACTGAGAGGGGAGTGGGCATTTTAGAAAGTCTCACCAATCTGAAGGGAAAACAAAATGGCCTCAGATCATCTTCCGTCCTTATTATCTATGCCTTTCGATTAACAACAGAACAAAAGAAAATAGTATCAATTATAGCATATAGACTTAGGGCAAAAAAAGTAAACCTTCTTGAAAATTAGGTCTATTAAAGTAGGGAGGCCAGCAGGTGGCATGGTGGTTAAGGTGCTGGACTCCTACATGGCTGACTGCAGTTCCAGTCCCTGACCTGGTGGCTTGCTTTCTCTCCCTCTGGCTTTCTCTGGTCAAACAGCACAATAATAAAAATAAATAAAATGAAATAATAAGTCTTTTTAAAAATTAGATGATTAAAGATTACTAATGTTTTTTTTCTTTTTTTGAGAGACAGATTTTATTTATAGGGTACATGTGCTCACTGGAGAGACAAAGAGAAAGAAAGTGAGAAATTACCCCTGGGGGATAGCCACACCATAATCCCTTTTCTTCATTCTCCTCTCTGGATTTTTTGGGCAGATACACACATGTGCCTGGTGTGAAGTTTAAGCTACAGGGTCCAGGACTCAAACCACGGTTGACCACCTGGGAGTCCAACAACACAACCACTATGCCATTGGATGGTCCCAAGACTACTAAATCTTATTGCCTTGAAGATATTAAAAATATAACCATATTATTCTAAATCATCTGGATGCACAGTGGCTGAAGGAAAGGTAGTTTTTCTAGGATGAGATTTCTGCATCAGGGCTGGCCCCATCGTGTCATAGTTAAGCACAACACAGGAAGCCAGACCATGGCCAACCAGGGTGTATGTCCAAGCCTGGTGGCTTGGAGAACATTCTAGGCACATGCATGTGTCCAGGACCCTGATGGCATGGAGAACTGGAGGAAGGACTGCAGCTTTACAGGCTGCGTTAGTGTGTGTGCTTGCTCTCTCACGCCCCCTAGCATTGAAAAAAAAAAACTGCATCAGAGCAGAATATAAATGATAGGCCAATTTGTATTACCAATGATTTTACTGTAAAAAAAATTTTTTTTAATGTAGGTGATTTTTTTTCTATACAACAAAAAAATTCACAGGTGCCCTTAACAGTGTCAATTTTCCCGGCACTTTTAAAAAATAATTCATTTCTTTGCTATAAAAACTCATGACATGCAGAAAGAAAACATGAACAATGTCATGAGTACCAAAAGTTCACCAAAGAAATTCTCCAGGGGCCAGCAGGTGGCATGGTGGTTTCCTGGCACTTTTAAAAAATAATTCATTTCTTTGCTATAAAAACTCATGACATGCAGAAAGAAAACATGAACAATGTCATGAGTACCAAAAGTTCACCAAAGAAATTCTCCAGGGGCCAGCAGGTGGCATGGTGGTTAAGGCGCTAGACACTCCCACATGGCCAACCACAGTTGAAGTCCCAGACCTGGTGACTTGCTTTCTCACTGTCTGTCTTTGTCTCTCTCTGGTCAAATTAAAATAAAGTAATTAATAAAATTAAATAATTCTTTAAAAAAAGAGAAATTTTTGAACAGTTCCTCAATGGGTATTCAGTTGGAGTTTGGGAAATATTTTTGTATTTTAAAATGAGTACTTTAAAGTAAACTCAATATTTGGGGACCAGCAAGTGGCGTGGAGGTTAAGGCGCTAAACACTTCCACATGGCCATCCATGGTTTGAGTCCCAGACCTAGTGGCTTGCTTTCTTACTTTCCTACTCTCTCTCTCTGGTCAAATTACAATAAATGAATGAATATAAAATTAAATGATTCTTAAAAAAGAAAATAAAACAAACTCAGTATTTTATAATAGGCAACCAATGACTTTACCTTGTGCTGTTTTCCAGAACTAATCTAGTAATAAACCCTATCCACATGGCATCCTTCTTTCCCAAAATCCATTCTAGGATTCCTGGAAGAGAGCAGACGCGGTATCACAGGCCTGGGGAGAGTTAGCTGCGCAGCCACACCGCCCAGCCCGGTCCTCCTCTCGCACCAGCTGCGACATTCCCATTTCACTCTTGAACACTCCACTCACCCAGATAACCGCCATTGATGTTGAAACGCTCGTTCAGTGTAAGGCTAAACAGCCCCTGAGGAAAGAGAAAGCAATGGATTCAGAACCGCCAAGGCCTTCTTACTATCACTTTGGAGTGGTGTACAGGGTGGGCAGGGGCAAAGAGAAGTGGAAACCACGGGGCACCGCCTGTTAACGGAGCTTTCTCGCACGTTCACATCTTGCGTGTGTGACATGTTGGTGGGGTGTCACTGAGGTCCAAGGACTGACGACTGACTTGCCGATGGGACTGGCTGATTCAGACCCAGATCCCGGCCCACTAGCCAGCCCTGGTCACCCGGACACAGGCTCTGGACCCCAGAACAGGCTCAGAAGCCTCCATTCCTTCCTCCTCCTCTCTACCATGCGATCTGTCTGTCCACAGCAGGGACTATGACAGTGACAAGTACCAGGGCAGAATGGGGACTCTGTGTTTTTAGGTCCTCATTTTCTGAGACTCTGCCCTTCACAGACAGTAAAAGCAGGACACGAAGCTATCTGGAAAACCAGGCAACAGTAGGTTCCTTACGGGTTTGAATCCTGTTAACATGCCCACGTAGCCGGCAAAGCTTGAGGCCTTGAAGACAGTCTTTTTGTTTCTCTGGAAGTCCAAGTTCACTGTTAAAGGTTTCAGTTGCTCGGTTATGACCCAGGTGTTATTGTTTGTGTTCCACCTACAGCAGAGAAATTTCAGGAACAGGTCAGAACTCTGGTGACAATACTGCACAGGACGAGAGCCCAGCATTCCCGAGGTGCTTCAGCTGCCCAGTCACTGACGAGCCCTCCCGACAAGACCAAGACCAAGACCTTTACACCATGAGAGGTTTGCGCTCTCATTTGCCTGCTGATTAAGTCAAGGCTCAGAGAAGCGAGGGTCCTCTCCCAGTAGCACGCAGCCTGCAAACACTGAGCCTCGGATTCAAACGTCGGTCTCCAATGACACATTTCTGATGTTTTCTCAGAAAGGTCAGGACGGCACGTGAAATAGAGTGCGATCCTCCCTCCGGAGCAATGGCTGTGGCGTGGCTCTGCGGACTTCAGGTGTGCTCCGGGTTTCTGGTCGCCAGGTACAACCTCTCAGGACGGACCCTCCGACAGTGAACGAGAGTATGCCCATCTGGACTCGGTCAGGAACCGACGAGCCGTCTTCATTTAGGCTCATGTTGTGGACATGACGTGGGCCGTGATTTCATGAATGTAAAGCACTCTATGGAAGACACACAGGCTGCTCTTTACGTACCCGAGAAAGACTCCGAAGTCCATGTTCCTCCCGTGTAGCAGATGTCCTGTGTGTGAGCAAGCACAAGAGACGTGACGTGCGTGTCGTGGAAAGACAGCACGACCGCTTCTAGATCAAAGCTGCACACTTCCATCTAGTCCAGCTACCCTCACAAACGTTTCGTCTAACACACGAATCAAGAAGCCTCCTGACATCAGAATCCTTAGTAAGACCAAAGCATGAGGAGCACGCAGGTAGCATGGTTAAGGCGCTGAACTCTCACGTGGTCAGCTGTGGCTCGAGTCCTGGACCTGGGGGCTTGCTTTCTCACTAACTTTCCCTCTCTGGGGAACACATGTGCCCTATAATAAATTTTAAAAATAATAATAATAAAACTTTAAAAAAAAAAAAGATCAAACCACAGTCAGCGTCACATCTGTCAGACACCCCACGTTATCTGAGTGCAGAGCTCAGCATATGGGAAAAGATCATTGGCCATTCTTCGGGCACCCTCACGTGGTTCTCACAGGACAGCGAGATCGTGGCCTCTGTTGTGACTCACTAAATGCTGCCTTTCATGGCTGTGGCCTCGAGTAGAGTGCCCCAGGGGTGGGCACAGGCAGCCTTTGTACCAGAGAAGGTCAAGAGTGGGGGCGAGTCAGGACCAGCCATCCTGTTCCCTGTACTCTGGGCCAGACAGGAAAATATGAGAAGTGACACTGGAGTAGATGGGGACCTGGGCTAGGGAAGGACGAGAGAGGTCCTGGGCCTCGAGGAAAAACAGGTCATCACGCACTGAGCACGTGAGGTAGCGCCTGAGTGCTTCCGTCCACTCGGGGACGCGTGGGCAAGCGGGCCACAAAGGCCACGAGGCGGTCTCTGGCCCTGCCTGCGGCACTTCTTCCAAGTTTTTTACATGCCTCAGTTAAACTCGAATAAGCATTATATCGGGTTGTCGGAAAAGTCATGACGTATTTTTTTCTATACGAAAATGCATCATGACTTTTCTGACTACTCAGTAGTTGTCTTAAAATCAGGACAGTTTGGTATAGGTAGATGGCATAATGGTTACATAGCTGGACTCCCGCATGGCCAACGATAGTTCAAGTCCCAGACTCAGTGCTTAAAATTCAGGGGGGGGGCACATGTCTGCACGTGCCCAAAATCCCAAGGGGAGAATGGAGGAGAAGGGTCTGTGGCATGCCCAGCACCCCTGAGGGGTAATTTCTCACTTTCTGTCTCTGTCTCTCTAGTGAGCACATGCACCCTATAACAAAAATCTCTCTTAAAAAAAAAAAATCAGGACGGTTTTCAATGCACATATAAAAATCTATCAAGATATATAAACCTGTAAGCGAAATACACAGAATTTACATAGCAAGAGTGGATTCCAAAAATTCTAATTCCACTTCTTAGATTTTTATTTTACACGGTACTTTGCAGTGCCCGCCCTCCCTGGGCCCCCATTTACCTTCTTTGTCTTCTGTTATTATTGAAGTACAAATGGTAAAAAGTTCATAAAAAATGTTGAATGAAATAATCTCTCCTATGAGGAAAGAAACAGTTTTGTTAATATACAGAACCATGACGGAGTAAGAAAGACCTGTCTGAAGAGTGTGTGGCCGTCTTTATTGTGTGAGCGTGTGCCCTGGCGGAAGCGAGCGTCCACGGGCCTGAGTGTGCCTGAAGAGCTGGTGGGAGGTCCTTCACTAGCCTGTCCTCGCTCTAGACTCAAGATAAAAGAAGTCCTCAAAGAGGCAGCTACGGGGCTCACCGAGCATCTGAGCAAACTGGTGTCCGCGTTTGCCATCAGTGCATTTCACTGTACGTTTTTTGGGGGGTGCAGGTGTGTGCATCACGGGGGAAGAACAGAGCCTGACGACTCGTACATTTGCATACCACAGCCGCGTGGCGTGTGACCTCGTGAGAACTGACATCCTGAGGTTGCTGACGGATCCCGGTTACCAGGGTCTGTTACTGGAAGATGGCACTCTGTCTCAGGCAGTCTCTGCTGAAGCCACTCCCCCCGAGTTTACCGAACCCCGGGCCTGGCTAGTGTCTGAATTAAGCATATTCTGTAAACCAGAGGAAAATGTGCAAGCAACGAACGGTCCAAGTGAAGCCGAAGAATTGCAGCTTCAGGTGAGGGGGCTCCCAGGGGAGATGACCCTTCACTGCTCTCTGGGGATGTGACCAAGCGTCTTCCTGTTCAGAACTGCCTCCTCTTGTTCACCTACCTCATCTCAGAACCAGAAGCTGCCAGCATGCTCTGTGTGAATGCTCCTCCCCCCCAAAAAAAGCCCAAGAAAGAGGCGGTAGTGAGGTCTTTCAAGAGCTGAAAGGCCCATGTACTGCTCTAGGCACGTCCACACTTCCAGTGGATAAAACTATGTCCCAATTCTTCAGCGGGACTGAGAAAACATTAAAGGAAACATGAGCCAAAGTGGGCAAGCCTAATCACGTGGGCGAGCCTTTACTGAACACATCCGTGGGACCAGCCCACTGGAAAGAGGCAGAAGCAGTTAACCAAGCCATCGCCAATGAATACGAAGTCCGGAGAATACATGTCTGGATGTCACCGCACAGCCCTTTGGCTGGTGTGACAGAGCTAAGGATCAGACAGAAAAATGGGCCCACACCTAGCAGCTGAAACACTCAGTTTTATCTCCAAAAAGTACTGTCTCTGTTGCCCGTCTTCTGGCTGCAAGACAAGACTGCTCAGAGCTTTTCAGGACAAGCAGTGGCTCTGTAAGAGGAAGGACCGCCTGTGCTGTCAGTAAGGTGTGGGCGGCTGGGTGCCTGACAGGGTGGCAGACCCATCGACACTGACCCTCCACCCCCAGATGCCAGCTTGGCAAAGAAGGCAAGATGGTCCCAGCTGCAAGCAGGAGGCTGAAGAGGCGGGAGGGGTGGTTATGAACATTTCATATGGAGGACGAGGAGGTCAGAGGGAGGGGTGGCCGTGGTGCCTACGACCATGGTGGCCGAGGGGGAGGGAGAGGAAATAAGCATCAAGGAGGCTGGACGGATGGAGGGAGTGGAGGAGGAGGAGGAGGTGACCAAGATGGTGGTTATCAAGGTTCAGGTTTCCAGCTGGTGGCTACCAAGGCAGTGGTTATGGTGGCTTCCGAACATCTTCTTAGACATAAAATGAGTCAGCAGGGTGGTGGGTACCAGCAGGACACAGATACCGAGAAGGCAGGCACCGTGGTGATGGAGGTGGTGGTGGTGGAGGCCGAGGTGGTCATCGAGGCCAGAGAAGAGGTTGGGAAGGAAGGAGGAGCCAAACTTATCACCAAGGGGGTCAAGTTGAACAGCACTTCCGGCATGGAGTTTATCAGTACAGTCATTCTGGGTTTGGACAGGGAAGACATTATACTGGCTGAAGCTACAGAGCCTTACATTTGGCTAGAGCTCAAGTAATAGAAACTTAGGTTTCAGAATCCTGAATCCATCATCCATTTTGAATTACTATGAGACCACAGGGGGAAGGAAGGTGGATTCCCGCTTGGTATAAGCGTGTGCAGGTCTTCATTCACTTCTAGGTTCGTTGGTTTGTTCTTGTCTTTTTGTTTTGTTTTGAATGCACTGACAATTCTGGTTATCTGAGAAACACATACATCTCTCCTTTCTATGGAAAATTCTAAAAAGGTGATTAAAATCGCCTTTAATTGACCAGTAGAGTGATTCCACAGTCAGAACACACACATTTTTTTGAAGACATGACTTGAATTAAGTAGCTTTCCATATGCAGTTTCGAAAAATGAGGATTGGTCTAGACTTTTTTGGATTTACTACTAGGAAACTTCACTCATACTAACAATCCATTTATATGTGTTTTGCTTACAGTATTCTCAAGCCTCTTTTGGAGTTGGCGTAATGGCTATGTCACTGGACTCCCACGTAGTTGACTGCAATTCGCCAGGCACGTGTGCGTGCATGCCCTAAGGATTATTTACTGAATGCCATGTAAGACCAACTGCCTAGACATAACAGAGAAATCAACGACCTAAATAAATACTGAGGGTATGCCATAGTCACAGATCTGAATGCTCAGTATTACAATCCAATTAAAAATATCAGTAGGTTTTTTGGTTAAAGTTGATAGGCTGATTCTAACATTATATGGAACTACATACGGTCTAGCACAGCCAAGAGATTTTGAAGAAAAAACAAAGTTAGAAGAACAACATTACCTAATTTTAGCATTGACTATAAAGCTGGGGCCAGCATGTGGAGGTAGTGGCTAAGGCACTCGACTCCCAGATAACCCACCATGGTTCAAGCACTGGACTCAGCAGCTTGAAATTCACACCAGTGTGTGTGCATGTATGCCCAAAATCCCAAGACAAGAATGGAGGGGAAGGGATTATAGCATGGCCATCCCTTCTGGAAGTGGGGGTGGGGGTGAGTTCTCATTTTCTCTTCCTCTGCCTCACTCTGTGTCTCTGGTGAGCATATATACCCTAAAGCAAAAATCTCTCTCTCTAAAAAAAAAAAACAAACTATATATACACATACATATATATATATATTTACTGTAAAGCTTTAGTAATTGAGGTAGAATGGTACTAATATAAGGAAAGACGAATAGATAAATAAAACTGGAGACCAGCCAGTGGCGTGACAGTTAAGGTGGCTGGATCTCATAGGGCCGACTGCAGTTCGAGTTCTGGATCTGACGACTTGAAAAGCACACCAGGAGCATGAGTGGGTGCCCCAAATCCCAAGGAAAATGGAGGAGAAGGTGTGGCTGCCACCCCCCAGGGAGTTATTTCTCATTTTCCCTTTCTCTCTCTCTGTCTCAGGCAAGCACTATGTGAGTTTCCTTGTGCCCTACGGAAAACAAAAAACAAAACAGATAAAACAGAAAACAAAAAACAAAACAGATAAAACAGCCCAAATCGAACCACATATGCATGCTCATCTGATTTATCTCAGACACCACAGTAACTTACTATTGGAAGAACAGTTTAATAAGTGGTGCGTAACCACTTTCAATATACTATATGAAAAAACCCTGAACTTTGACCCCGAAGCTCATACAGTATACAAAACTTAATTTAAAAAAGATCATAGGGGGCTCGCCCCAAAGCACAGTGGCTAACTGTGTACAGACAGATGGATTCCACGCGGCCAACTATGTGGTTTGAATCCTGGCCCCAGCAGCTTGAAAAACATGACGTGTGTGTACTGAAAATCCTACCTGGATGGAGAAATGGAAGAAAAAGGACTGCTTGGAAGAAAAGAGAGGCCCTTGGGAACCAGCAGTTAGCGTAATGGCTATGTCGCTGGACTCCCATGTAGTCGACCGCGGTTCGCGTCCTGGACCCGGTGGCTTAAAACTCACGCCGGGCGCGTGTGCGTGCGTGCCCAGGATCCCGAGAGGAGAATGGAGGAGAAGGGATTGCGGCGTGACCATCCCCTCTGGGGGGTGATTTCTCGCTTTCTGTCTCTGTGTCTCTCTCTGTCTGTCTGGCGAGCGCACGCGCCCTATAGTGAAAATCTCTCCAAAAAAAAAAAAAAAGAAAAGAGAGGCCCCTGCCCAATGGTGAGAACATAAACTCTCTCATAAAAAAAAACATACTAAGCTTAAATGTGAAAAGTAAACAGGGAACCAGCAGTTAGCGTAATGGCTATGTCGCTGGAATCCCACGTAGTCGACCGCGGTTCGCGTCCCAGACCTGGTGGCTTAAAACTCATGCCAGGCGTGTGTGCGTGCGTGCCCAAGATCCCGAGAGGAGAATGGAGGAGAAGGGATTGTGGCGTGACCATCCTCCCTGGGGGGGTGATTTCTCGCTTTGTCTCTATGTATCTCTCTGTCTGTCAGGCGAGCGCATGCTCGACTACGTGGGAGTCCAGCGACATAGCCATAGCGAAAAATCTCTCCAAAAAAAAAAAAAAAAAGTAAACATAAACACCTAGAAGAAAACACAGAGGAACACTTTCATGACCTTGGAGAGGCCAACATTTCTGAAATGGACATAAAAAGCACTGTTCATAAAGAGGGGGCTGAGGAAATAAACGTCATTAAAATTAAGAATTTCTAGACAACAAATGAAACTGTAAGAGAATAAAATGTAAGCCTGGACTGGAAGAAGATATTTGGAATACATATGACTGACAAAGGACTGGTATTCAGAATATACAAAAAATTTCTTCAAACCAATAACAAGTACCTGAACAAATGAAGGGTGGAAGAGAGAGAGAGAGAGGAGAAAGGATTAGGCAGTCATTTAATCTCACTGATCATCAAGGAAATGGAAATCAAAACTATAATGGGACACTATGACACCAACAAAATAGGTCAAATAAAAAGGAGTGCCACCACCAAACACAGGAAGATCAAGTAGAAAAAACAAAATCTTGGGACCAGCAGTTAGCATAATGGCTATGTTGCTGGACTCCCATGTAGTCGACCATGGTTCGAGTCCTGGACCTGGTCACTTAAACTCACGCCAGGCGTGTGCACGCATGCCCAAGATCCTGAGAGCAGAATGGAGGAGAAGGGATTGTGGATGGCCATCCCCCCTGGGGGGTGATTTCTTGTTTTCTATCTCTTTGTTTTTCTGGGGAGCACACGTGCCCTACAGCCAAAAAAAAATAAAATAAAAAAGCCTCTTCAAAAAAATAAAAAGAAAACCAAAATCTCTTAACTCAAACTATGCTGATTGTCAATGGATGCGATCACTTTGGAAAACCGGCATGATCTACAGGGATAACCATACAGATGTCCTATGACACAAGAGCTGCCTTCCTAGATACATATCCATGAAATGAGTGCACCCATCCATCAAAAGATTTGTATAAGAATGTCCATAACTGCTTTATTCTTAATATCTGAAATCTGAAAACAATACAACATAACACCTATAAATATAAGAAATCACACACAATGGTTCAGATGGTTCACTTCTATTTATAAGAAGTTCAAGAAGAGAAAAACAAAAAAAGAAACTATGGAGGAGTATAATGGTTACACGAAGGAACAGTATTCTTTGAAGAGGGGCCAGAAAGGGTATTCCAGAGGTCTGGAATTTTCTATATCTTGATCAGAGTTGTGCCTCTATGACTAAATGCGTTTTTAAAATTTCAGTGAGTACATTGCAAGATCTGTACACTTTATAGCATGTATTGAGTATATTATATCTCAACAAAGATATTTTAGAGTGTCTTATTAAATTTTTTAAAAGCTGCAATGTGAACTTTACCTAAAGGTATCTCAGTAACATCTGCAATTCCCTTCATTTCCTCTTCATAAGGCTCAGGAAGGTTGCCAAGAAGACCAGGCTGAAAACAAAAAAATTAACACTTACTCAACCTAAAGACATGCACTAAGATCCTTACATATCCTTCGCAGCTAACACTGCTACCACAAGAGATGGTAAGAGTTATTTTTAAAGAATTTTTACATCATGTGCTTCTAAAAGATTCTATGTAATACTCAATATGGGGCCCCATATTATGATTCTCAGCTTGTTTTTTCTTGTTTTAAAATTCCTCTATTCTCCAAAGAGAGTTGAAATCAGAAAAATTCCACCTGGATGACCTCCCATGACCCACACACAAAAACATCACAACAAGCACTCCATCTCTGTCTACTCAAATTCACCCTCTGATCATTGGCCACTCATACATACCCTTATGACTATTCCCTTCCCATGCTCACAGCAACACACCTACGCTATTCTAGTCACTGACAAAACCTGTCACACTTAATGGCTGATCTTGGGCTAAAAAAGTCATTGACTGCATTGTGTGAGCAAACGACAGACATAAGGGCAAATCCAGTGGCAAACATCACACTTTTATACCCAACTGTAATGATTCACTAACACGGGAGTTCACACTTTAGGTTCACAGTCTCTTGCTGAAGCAATATACTTAAAATTCACATGGGCCATTCTTCTTGGTAAAAAATATGTGAGGGTACCTCACTAAGCATATTATTTCTTCCCCTAGCAATTCCAAGCATGGCACAAGTGAAATGTTACAGCCAGTATAACTAACAAATGTGATAGAATGAACATTTATTAAGCACTATTATATGCTTTGTATGTGGTGTGTCACATAATCCTCCTAATTACTGGTAATTATTATTCTCCCTGGTGTAAAACTGAAGTTTCATAGATTAAGAAACTTATTCAAGGACCCAGAGCTAGGATATAAGTATTCCAGCCTTAAAACCTAGTGTTGTCTGATTCTAGTTCATGTTCCCTAAACGACCTTGCAATGCTGCCCTTCCTATTGACATTCGGAGTGAGGGGAAACTAGGGCACGTGAGGTTTGTGGGGTCTCTTTCTCTTTTGTTCCTGCCAACATTGTTAATTTGGGGGAAATCTGGTAAATACAAACATAGAGGAGAGATTTAACCCAAGGCTCTAAGGACAGAAACACAAAGGGTAACAGGTTTAAGGGCCGGCAGTACACGTGTCATAAGGCAAATGTGCCCAGACATCCAGCCTCTAGGACAAAGACTCTCATCCAGGGGCAGTTATGCCCCAGTCTCCCCCATAGGAAAGCTGGCAATATCTAGGGACATTTTTTGGTGTCACAGCTGAGGGGGTGTTGACAGCACCCAGTGGATAGTGGCGAGGGCTGCTGCTGACATCCCAAAATACACAGGACAGCCCCGTGACAAAAGTGTACCCAACTTCAGGTCTCACTAGTGCCCTAGATGTGCCCCAGGGCCTGGAATCCTTCCTCAGTCCTCCGTGCCCTGCAGTCATGTGTGTCAAGGTGAAGGCGAAGGGGATCCCTCAGGGGTTCTGGAGGCCAGGCTCCAGGTTGCATTGGTTCCACCTACACATGAAAGGGGCTGAGAAACCATCTTCCTGCATGACCAGGAGGAAATGAACTGGTCTGGTGACTGCACAGCCATAAGAAACACTCAGCCCAGTCAGTTTTTAAAGGTCACATCGACCAAGGGAGTCCACAAAATACAGGACTAGGTTGAGTATGTCGTTTGGTAATATCTAGAAAAATCTCTGGGTGTCCTGAGATACTAGGGGCAAAGGACTTAAGGGGAAAAAAAGTTTTCAACAGTGAACTTACAAAGGTATATCTACAAGGCCGGAAGTGCCATATTCCCAGGTGAAATATGTGTATTTGGCCACTGCTCATTAAAACAGTATATACCTTTTTTTAGAGAGAGATCTTTTTGCTATAGAATGCATGTGCTCACTGAAGAGAGAGAGAGAGTATACCTTTTTTTAGAGAGAGATCTTTTTGCTAAAGAATGCATGTGCTCACTGAAAAGAGAGAGAGAGAAAGAAAGAGAGAGAGAGACACAGAGAGACAGAATGCAAAAAATCACCTCCTGGGGGGGATGACCACACCGTAATCCTTTCTCCTCCATCCTCCTCTTGGAATTTTGGGGGCATATACACACGTGCCCAGACCATTTTAAGTCACTAGGTCTGAGACTCAAACCATAGTTGACTACGTGGAAATCCGGCAAGGTAACCATCATGCCATCTGCTGGTCCCAATAGTATATACTTTTAAAAAACAACAAAGAGGAGTATACTGCCTGAATTTGCCAGGTTTGTATCCTGTTACTCAATAATATTGTATTATCACCAATCCCTAGAGGTAAAGTCTGTCTGAAGTCCTGACAGTGACCTAGAATGCATGCAAATTTATCTTAAGTTTCTGAAAAGAGGTTGTTGAATTATAACTTTTTTTTTAGGAGAGGTTTTTGCTATAGGGCGCGTGTGCTCGCCAGAAAGACAGAGATAGACAGAGAGACAGAAAGCGAGAAATCACCCCCAGGGGGTATGGCCACACCACAATCCCTTCTCCTCTATTCTCCTCTCGGGATCTTGGGCACATACGCACACGCGCCCAGTGTGAGTTTAAGTCACTGGGTCCAAGACTCAAACCACAGTCTACTACATGGGTATCCAGCAATGTAGCCATTATGCCATCTGCTAGTCCCAGAATTATGCCTTTAAATAAATTACCAGAGCATCTTCTGATCTGTGTGTATATGTATGTGTTTCTACCTAAAATTTATTGTAGGAGAGGCCAGCAGGTAGCATGGTGGTTAAGGTGCTGGACTCCCACAAAGCTGACCATGGTTCAAGTCCCAGATATGGCAGCTTGCTTTCTTGCTTTTCCTCCTTTTTCTCTCTCTGTCTTGCTCTGTCATTCTCTGATGAGCACACGTACCCTACAGCAAGTTTAAAACAATCATAAATAATTAAAATTAAATGCTTAGTTCTAAAAATTGTTCTGTAACAAATAATATTTCTTACCAACTTTTCATCCACCATCTTCATAACTTTTCCACTTGGCACAAATGCATTTACTAAATCCTTCAGGGAATTCACTATAGTCCTTATCTGAAAACAAATAAAGCACTTAATAAAAGATACAATCAAGTATTGACACTTAAGATTAATATTGCTATAATGAACACAGAGTTAGTCCTTTTGACTTACGTACACATGAGAAGCTAATATAAGAGTGTTCTTTGAAAATATTTTTAATTAATATATTAACACAATGAGTCTAAATTTATCTTTAAAATGACATTTGATTCTTTTTTTTAGTCTTTTTTCCCTTAATTTTACTCATTTATTCATTTATTTTAATTTGACAAGATACACACACATACACAGAGAGAGAGAGAGAAAGTGAGAAAGCAAGCCACCAAGTCCAGGACTCAAACCACTCGGCCATGTGGAAGTCCAGCACCTCAACCACCACGCCACCTGCCAGCCACGACATTTGATTCTTAATTATTCAGATGAAGAGAGAAGACACAGAGGGAAATAAAGGCAAAGTCTATGAAAGGGAACACGAGCTACAGAGAGTGACGCCTTTCCCTCCACTGTCAGTTACCGTACACGGCAGAAAGGAATCAAAACCACTTTTAAACTATTTGGTGATTTCAGGAAATGTTCCTTTAAAACTGTAATTACATTCAGTTGAGAGTTCAGTCACAAACAGAAGGTTGAGAGTCACAGCGTACCATGGGTGCCTTGTCGGTCATCAGCTCATGCCATCTCTTGTAGGGTGGTAAATCAAGATCGATGGTGTACCACGGAATCGGCCCCCGGTAGCTGTAAAGAGAGGCACATTTTGTTTTGAAATGTTGAAGGCAGTTTTGTAAGGAGGTTAGATAGTTACATCTATAAGGCTTTATTAGAGACATATTCTGTTTTTTTTTTTTTTTGTCAGAGAGCACATGCCCAGACAGCAAGACAGGGAGAGGGGGAAGCACCCCTTACCCCAACAAGACATGGTCACACCGCAATCCTGTCTCCTTCATTTCTCTATCCTGTTTGGATACTGGGCAGGCACACACATGTGCCTGGTGTGTTTTTTAAGCCACAGGGGCTGGGATTTGAACCATGTGGTTGGCCGTATGAGATGTGACTCCAATAACCACCAGGCCCCAGGCCAGCCCAGAAACATATTCTTCATCACCATATAAAAGTTGGTTCCTTTGGACCAGCAGATGGTGTAATGATTACATCGCTGGGTCCCCACTCGAGTCAGCTGCAGCTCGAGTCCTGGAGCCAGAGGCTTAAAACACATACTGGGTACGTGTGTGTGTGGGTGTGTGCCTAAGATCCCGAGGGGAGAATGGAGAAGGGATTGTGGTGTGGCCATCCTCCCTGGGGGGTGATTTCTCGCTTTCCGTCTCTCTGTTTCTGTCTTTCAGGCAAGCACACGCGCCCTAGAACAAAACTCTCTCTTAAAAAAAAAAAAAAAGTAGGGTGTGTGTGTGTGTGTGGGTGGGGGTGG